CTCTCTCTCTCTCTCTCTCTCTCTCTCTCTCTCTCTCTCTCTCTCTCTCTCTGTGTGTGTGTGTGTGTGTGTGTGTGTGTTTTCTGTTGATTGTTCTCTTTTTATCTTGAAAGCTCTCTACTATGATAACTTCTCACTTGGTCCTCACCATGGGGCCTGCCACCTGTCCGTCACTCAGTAAATACATGTTAGAGTGACATTCAGACCTGAGAACCCCAGACTTTATGCACAGTATTCCTTCTAGCTGCCCATATAGGGGACCCAAGTGCCAAGGGCGTTAAACAAAAAGGAACACATTATTTTCATGTAGGAATGAAATTCTGAGCCCACATGGCAAATTTCATCAACTGGTATGGTGCCCAAAGTAGGTTATGATTTGAAAGCACTGCTAGTCAAAGAGCTAGGACGCAATTCCTTAGCTTTCCCCACCAGTGTAAAGGTATGTATGTAGAAAGGACTAGAGAAGGAGTTGTTGGACTTTTACTATATATTGAGACAGGACCTCACTTTGTAGTTCAGGCTTCCCTAGAACTCACTAGGAAGCCCACTAGAAGCCCAGGTTGGTGTTACCACAACCCTCCCTGCTTCAGTCTCCTGAGTGCTGTAATTATAGGCGTGAGCCACCATACCAGGCAACATTGACTTTTAAAAAATAATTATAACCTGCATCTCAACAGCTTTCTTATTATATGCTACTCTGAATAGTGTGTGAGAGACTGAAGAGTCTGGCCTTGAGTCTGCGTCTTGATAGGACTATGACACAATTTAAAAAGTCAGTTCCAGTTCTGTTCAAGAGGTTGAAGCAGGAGGATCATGAGGTTAAAACTAGCCCTGCCTATATAGTAGGTTCAAGTCCTGGTCAGGGCTGTAATAGACTGTGCCACAAAAGCTAAAATGTCAATGAAAACTATATCTTTAAAAGACTTTTCTTATTTGTTTTTATTTCATGTGCATGAGTGCTTTGCCTGTATCTCTGTGCACTGCACGCTTGCCCACAGAGGCCAGAAGAGATTGTCAGCTGCCATGTGGGTACTGGGAATTGAACCTGGGTCCCTTGTAATAGCCAACAAGTGCCCTTAATCGCTGAGTCATCTTTCCAGCCCATATCTTTTATTTAAAGAGTTGGGAGAGAACTTAATATTCCTTAGGGTCCTGGTTAATAAATTAAGCCTTTGTTTATTAGTCTAGTCTCAACATAGAGAATGTAAGCTAACAGAAAATCCCTTTTTTAGGCACTCATTGACATTTCACTAAACAGATTTACACACACACACACACACACACACTTACACACACACACACACTTACACACACACACACACACACTTACACACACACACAAACACACACACAAACACATACACACACATACACAAACACACACACATATACACACACATACACACACACATACACACACACACACAAACACACATACACACACTGGACAGATAACAGAGTCTAGGGAGTCTTGGGAAAGCAGTTCACACCATGCCTTTCCGTTCTGTTCTCTGGAGCTTTGCCTGCACAGTGGTAGCCTGTCTATCCTGCAGAGGTCATTAAGATTTTGGTTATTGCCAAAATGCCTGTTCTGGCAGTCTACTGAGGTAGCATAGGAAAACTTATCTCGGCAATGTGAAAATCTCCATTTTAAGAAGCATTTCCAAAACCAAACATCTCACCTCCTGGATACAAAGACCCTCTTGTGCTATTTTCTTTTTCTTGGGGTTCTGTTTGATTAGGGTGAGACCTACTCTCGCTCTAAGCCCTTCAACTGTAAACTCTCTTCCAGCTTCCTATACACTAACACCAATTAATATAGTGGCTCTCCCAAACGCCAAGGTATCCCTAAGGTATGCAGTGAAAGGAAACACATTTTCCATTCATTTCTTTCTTCGTTCATGTGATCCATTTAATATAGATTTCCTGAGGACCTGCTCTGCACCAGGCACTGTTTTAATCTCTAAGGATACAGCAGTGGAAAACAAAATCCAGGAAAAGCCCCTGTTCTTATTAACGTCCATTTTTATATGTGCTTTATAAACAGGACTGGGAGATGAGGACATTGCAAACTCGCTGTGTGTGCAGTGTGTGCTGGAGGGATAAATGCTAGAAAAAACCATTGTTTTTAGCCAACATTGATTTATAACATTTTAAAAAAATGTGATGGGATTTGTTTTTAGTCTAGCAGTCCAAATTTAGAAAAATGGAATTTGAGAGTTTGTGAAGCATTTTTCATTCACTATTAGAAGTATTATCAACTAATGACTCTCAACATATTGTTTGCCTAAATACAATCAAACATTTTCAATATGCCTGTTCAGTGGTCTTTTTCATGGCTTCTTAAGAGCTTCTTTGAGAATAGGGCACACTTTATAGAGTGCCTAGAATACAGAGAGAAACACTTGACATTTTGGTTGTGAGCCTAGCCTTTAATGGTTGAGTCATCTCTTTAACCCATGAGAGGTGCTTAATTAAAGTGCTTATTGAAATAAAACATTGTATTCGTATTAAGTAATGAAAGTTCATTTGCAAACAGGCAAGAAAAATGGCTCTGTCTGTTGTTTGTCCTCATTTTCATGAAAACAAACAAACTGCTGGGTTTCTGGTTCTTTTTATTTACGCTGAACATGTAGTAATGTAATTGTAGACTGCTTAACTGCAGAGTAAAGTTTGAACTTGTAGATATTTACTTACTGGTGTTTTAAAGATAAGGTCTTGTTATGTAGCTCAGGCTGCCTTCAAACAAGTGCTGATACTCCTTCTTCAGCCTCCAGAGCGCTGAGGTTACAGGCATGAGCCACTACGTATTAATTCTTTCATTATTTTTGATAGTCAATTGCATGTATAGAATGCACTGTGGCTATATTTGTCATCAACCTCTCTTATCCCCTCCAATTCTTTCTGGTTCCTTTGTCCCCAACTCTGTACCCCTTCCATTAAAAAATACCTAATAACATGTGAAAAAAAAATACATATCTTATTGATCTTGAATTTCTTTCTTAAAATAATTTCATTTTACCTTAATAACATATACATTAAAATAAAGTCATAATGTAATAAGATATAGCACTACTTAATTTCTATAAATTATTTATATAATCCAATTTATTATATGCAGTTTACAGCTGGCTGAAGTCTTTTGGGAGCTGGAGAAATGAAGGAATCAAACACTTCTCTAATGTTATGTGAGTTGCTTTTGTTAGTCTAAAACACAGAATTTTCATCATGAATGTCAGCGTCATGAATGCTCCATTTTTCTAAATTTGGAGGGAAAACACTGGGGTGTGCAACTTACATACCATAGGCAGTTTTATATTATAGGAGTTGGAAGACTTGGGTTCTGAAGGTTATCACTAAAGGGTAATATAATAATCACTATTGTTATGTTATAATAAGAGCAAATGACCCAGAGGAGTGGTTTACCCATCACCTATATTAACCAAAGTAATTTTACAGTGAGTATCAACCTACTATTTGAAATATTGCCAGACCTTCCCCTTGTGAGCTCAACTGATTTGGAGTATGAGAAAAGAAAAGAAGACAAAAACAAACAAACAAACAAACAAACCCATCTCCATGGTTTTGGGAAAATGATAAGAGTGAGGTAGAAATGAAATGATTACACTGTTTGTAGAAATTGAATGAATAGTATTCATATCTACATGAGACATTCTTCATGGAAATTAACCTCCCCATTGAGACTTGGGTTTAGACTTAGCTTTACTACAGACTCTCAGAAGTCTCGGTTTCTGCATTTGAAAGGGACATAACAGAACTCAATACATAGGCTGATGGGGTCAAATAGATAGTGGATGTGAATTTGGTTAGACATGATAAATACTCTATAGATGAAGCTACAAACCTTGATATGTTTTCCACTCAACAGAACTTAGACAATTGTATAGTTACCTTGCTGGATGGAATAGTATTTTTGACGTTGTGGTAGAAGCCAAAATAAACCATGTTGAAAATTCCGTGGCGTCCCAGAGTTGCAGTAAATCCTTTGTTGAGGCCCTGGAACCCCAAGCCTTCCTTCTTAATGATTTGTCTTGCATAAGCAAAAGTAGATGGTTGCTGTGTGAGAGAGAAGCAGAGCAAGAGACATCATTTTGGGACCATGGGATGCAGCAAATTACTACACTAATGTCCTTTCATGCCAGAATTATGAGGAACTATTTTCCAAAACAGGAAAAAAAAAGATCATGTTTATATCTGTGATTTTAAAAACTAGACCTCCTTCCCAAACACCCAAACACCCAAAACTTTATGTATAGCAGCAGGCTTTATAGAGAATTGTTGGCAAAGAAAAACCATCTTTTGTGGAGCTAGTGAAACTAATGTCATGTAATAATTACCATCACTTTCAACATGTAAATAGTTGTATCCAGTTCTGGATTACCCACTCTAAAGGAGAGATTATGCACATAGATACGTTAGTAATTCATAACGCCGTGTCAGCTAAAAGGAATTTATACTTGGCTCCTCCATCTAGAATGCTTATTTTATAAATTATGCTTTTTTTCCAAGCTAATTTTAAAATTCATCGCAAATCCATTGCCTCAGTGATTTTTAACTCACGATAGTTTAGAAACCAACCATGGATAAACATCTCTTCCCATAGATAGACAATCAGTGTATATGTCCCTTGCTGTGATACCTTATCAACCAATGGAACTGGAGGTAAAAGGTTATCTTTAATTTGTTCCTTTCCAACACTTTGGTTATTACCAAGACTGAAATACCTTGCCTGCTGGAATCCCATCTGCTGTTGCCTTTGGAGCTTGCTAAATAGTGCACTCTGGTTCTCTCTGAGATTTGCAGTTCGTTACAGTACAGTTACAAGCAGCCACATACGTTTTTAAGAGTATGAGTGGTTGTTTTCTCTTTGGAGGCACTTCACAAAGGAGATCCCCGCCTTCTCCTCTTAGCTTTTAGCTTTTCCTTCCCGAGACAAGCTCACATGACATCTGCTCAGTGATCTGTTGGAGCAAGTTGCTGCGATGGCCACAGCACTATGTCACACTTTTGATTCAAAGTATTCTCCTATTATTTGCAGTCAAAACCACACCAGCAGCTCAAAAAGCAACCAGGGCTTTTCACCCAACTGGTAATTTATGCTATATGATTAGCAAAATACATTTAAATGTGCTTTTTTATATAGTAAATAGTATAGTTTTCACTAATAATTTTTTTAAAAATCCTACTGGCTACAATTCTATAATTAGCTCTATCTTTTTTCATTTGTGAGGATTAACTACAAGAAGTCGCCCTAAGCAAGCCCTTCCCTGTAATGTGAGAATACAACATGAGAACGTACTTTGAAGCAACAAAATACATCCCGCAAAGAAACCGAGAAAATTCTCTTGAGGTTAAAGTCTATTCTGTGTGGGACCGTTTTATGTGTACTTTGGTGTGTTGACTAACACCCAAATTATTTCAGTTCTCAAAAGTGATGAGAAGGTGTCTACCCGCTCATGTCTGGGGGTGCTGAGCAAACTTGTAAACTTCTGCTCCCTCTGAGGAAGGCAGCACAGGGGCAGGGAAAGATAAGGGAGTCCTTAGTGGCAGGAAGAAGAGGGCAGATATGAGGATTCCCAGGACAGACTGACAGATGTCAGTATGATCCCCTCCTCCTTTCCATTGTCTCTCGTCTAACATCCCAGAGGCGGGAGGGACAGAGGGAGCTTTTAACTTTCATTAATTTTTATTTTATGAATCTAAATGATTTGTCAGCATGTAGGTATCTGTATCGTGGTGGGGGTGTGTGTACGCGTGCGTGTGAGAGGAGGCTAGAAGACAGCCTAGGATGGATCCACTAGAACTGGAGTTATAGCTGGTTGTAGGCATCATGTGGGTGCTAGACACTGAACTTAGGTCATCTGGAAGAGCAGCCAGTGTTCCTAACCACTGAGCCATCGCTTCAAAGGATAGTCTTTTGTTTGTTTGTTTGTTTGTTTGTTGTTTGTTTAAGAACACCACTGCTCTCTAAATGGTGTGGATAGGGTTTTGTTTTTGTTTGTTTGTTTGTTTTTAAAAACCATAGTTTGCTGAAAAATGGATAAAGAAAGTGTGGTTCATTTACACAATGAAATACTACTCAGCAATTAAAAACAAAGACATCATTAGTTTTGCAGGCAAATAGATCAAATCAGAAAATACCCTGAGTGAGGTAACTCAGTCCCAAAAGGACATACATGGTATGTACTCACTGATAAGTGGACATGAGCCACAAAGTACAGGATATCCATGATACACCCACCCCATGGACCTAAAGAAGTTAAACAAGAAGGAAGGTTCAAGTGAGGATGCTTGGATCTCACTTAGAAGGGGGAATAAAACAGTCATTGGAGGTGGATGGAGGGAGGGAACTGTCTGGGAGAGGAGATAGTAAGGGGAATGGAGGAGGGGCAGGATCAGGTGTGGGGAGAGACAGGAGCAAGGGCCAGAGAGCTGGGAGAACTAATGGAAATCTGCAGTTTCCAAGGGTGGGGTGTGGGAGTGATGAATCTCCTGGGCTGGGGAAGGCTCCCAACAGTCAATGTGGGTGACCTTAGCTGAGACGCCTAACAGTGATGACATGGAACCAGAAGAAGCCACCTCCTGTAGCCAGGAAGCTTCCCTCAGCGGAGAGATAAGGACACAGCCCACCCCCAAAACTTGTGACCCCAAATTTGCCCTATCTAAAAGAAATGCAGGGACAGTGATGGAGCAGAGACTGAGGGAATGGACAACCAATAGCCAGCCCAACTTGAGACCCATTCCATGGGTAAGCACCAACACCTCACACTAGTAATGATGCTGTGTTATGCTTGCAGACAGGAGCCTAGCATGACTGTCTTCTGAGGCTCTCTCCAGAAGCGGATTGAAACAGATGCAGGGACCCACAGACAAACATTGGACTGAGGGACTCTTATGGAAGAGTTGGAGGAGGAGGACTGAAGGATCTGAAGGGGATGGGAACTCCACAGGAAGACCAACAGAGTCAACTAACCTGGACTCATGGCAACTCCCAGAGACGGAGCCACTAACCAAAGAGGAAGCACAAGCTAGACTCAGGACCCCCCAGCACATATGTTCAGATGTGCACCAACAACAGGAGCAGGCGCTGTCCCTAAAGCTGTAGCCTAGCCATGGACGTAGTGCCCTAACAGTACTTGTCTGACCTCCTTGGGAGAGGATGTGCCTAATTCTGCAGAGACCTGATGTGTCAGGATGGGGGAATACCAACGGGGAGCACCCTCTCAGAGGAGAAGAGGAAGGGGAATGGGGAGAGAGACTCTGTGAAGTAGGGGGGTCGGAGAGGATGGGCGGCATTTGGGATGTAAATAAATTAATTTAAAAAAAAAAAGAGAAAGAGAGAAGGGCTGGTGAGATGGCTCAGTGGTTGAGAGCACTGACTGCTCTTCTAAATGTCATGAGTTCGGATCCCAGCAACCATATGGTGGCTCACAACCACCCATAATGAGATCTGATGCCTTCTTAGGGTGTCTGAAGACAGCAACAGTGTACTTACATATAATGAGCGAGCAGGGCTGGAGCAAGCGAGGCCGGGGGATGGGGGGGGGGGAAGAGAAGAGAAGTCTCTACTTGGTAACCTTACTGGAAGAAGGAAGGACTGTGAGAGGATGAATGTTAGGAATGGAGGAGCACACGATCTGAAGCTCTACTGTGGGACTTCAGTGTATAATATCAGATATAACACCTGATATCACAGAGCGGGTGGTAATGGCAGAGCTCACACAGAGGTGTTTGAACCCTCTACTCAATTCTGTCATCCTAATGTGTTAGGTTGCTTTTCTCATTAACTCTATAAAGTATGTGGCAGGCACCCTACACTATCAGTTTCTCAGAGAGAAGACCAAGCCTAATGAAGTGATGTTCCTAAGGTAATGCTGCTCACAGATAGCTTGACCAGAATTTTGCATCTAAGTGTTCTTTTCCTCCTTGCTTATCCTTGTGATAGGTGATATGATTTGCAGGGCTTACCACTCCAAACACCACTGTCAGCTGATATAATAATACCCTAAATAATATTTTTTCTGGAAAGTTGAAGTTAATATATATATATATATATATATATATATAAATAATTCTGGTACCTAAGAGAATTAGGAGTATGGTAGACCACTTTTTTTGCTTCATTCAGGGATCCTGTGTCACACACATGTAAGCAAATATTCAATTAGAAAGGGAAAACATGACTTCCACTTGGATGCATAAATAGTAAAATGTAGGATCATTTTGACTAGATCTCTGTAAACACAGGAGATTTTACTAAACTTATTTGATTACTGGGCTTCCCTTTCAAAACAAAATGGCGGGTGATTAGTGTCGTCAGCCAAATGATTCCAACACTATCCAGCCCGGCATCAGGTCAGTTTCCCTGTGAAATTTAGACTCAGTACACTTTTCATATTTAGTTACCGACTGTGGGCAAACTGCCTTCTAAGTTACCCAGATGTCCCGTCCCCTGACGGCTTCAGAGCTGTGCTACGGGAGAATAAGTGGACTGGGGTGTAGGTAGTGTTGCAGGATGTGGACACTGTTGATAGGTAAGTCTCTCTACAGTGCTGGGATGGCAGGAGTGAGCGCCTGACTCAAAGTCTTCTTTTACTGATTTCGGTCACACATACTAAATGCTATTGCTCCCATAGATCACACTAAAGCTCTAGAATAGTGCTTTGTTTATATTCTAGAAATAGGGCAGCGATACTTTGCTCATCTTTTATTTAGAGAAATAAGCTTATAATTTTTTGCACTCATCGTCAAAAGTTCCACTAATGGAACTACGGAATAAAATTCATGGTAAAGTATCCTCAAGAGGTTTAGTCAAAAAAAAAAAAAAAAAAAGAACCTCAGTAAAATAAGATAAAGCACAGAAACATTTTGTGCTGTCTCACTTTCTTTGAGAAGTTTTTATTGGCATATGTCTGCCACAAAGGGGTCACGTCCACAGAAGAAAACGTTACCTCCCTCTCAGCTATCAATTGCCAATAGTTCCTCTGTGTGCAGTGGGATTTCATGACCCCTTTTCTATCCATATAAGCAAAATCGAAAAACAAACCCAAAAGGTC